TTAAACAACGGAAGAGTCTGAAGCTCACCCGCCTGTAAAGATTTACCAACCAAGCAGTTGCTCCACAAATATCATCTGGGATTGAGAGCACAGGTCACAGTCCGAACAATGTATAACAAAACTCTTATCAGCCATGATCCAGTTCCAGAACATATTCTGAAGACCCTTAGCGTGGTGGACAGTTTGTGTATACTGTGGGAAGACTACCTGGTCTAAGTAAATGTAATTGTGCAATAACACAGTGCTGTGGTGTGAGAGGAAAGTAGGAGCAAACGTATTTGTGACTGGAATCCTCGTGAGGGTAGAAGGATAGAGGGCTGGGCAATGCTGATACGAAATGAATGTCTTTCTTTTAGCTAGATCTGTGACCAAAGTCTTGTTTAGTTTGTGTGAGATTTATAACCTCACCCTCTGTTTTGTTTTGCCCTGACCCTTAACCTTACTGGAGTCGCACTGACTGACGCCTGGAGAATATCATCATCTGAAGGCATGCTCATGTACTGATACGAACCTTGGAATTGAGTGTACAAAATGAATGGTGTGAATGTTCTGTTCTACCAAAAAATTGACCATCTCTTTGCTGTTAGTTCTCTTTGATTGTGTGTACGTTTAATTGTTCTATTGTTTTGAGATCCTTTCCAGTTATTGGGTGTTTTCTCCCCAATGCTTTTAGCAACACCTCAGTGAGGTCACTGTTACAGTACTCAACCCTTTTAGACAGACCGCTACTGTACATAGACAGTTAATGTTGCAGCGAAACACACCAAACAGGCTGTGACTAACCACATCAAGGAAGGATGACTATGAATTTTGTATCTATTTGTGTGTGTGTGTACACAAGCGATTGTGCGGACAGGTCTGTGAGGCCAACAATTCAATGCATTTGTATCAATGATTTGTCACAAACTTACTGGCTAGGTATGGTATGTTAGTCAAGGAAAACAAATTAGAATCTTACCTTTTTACATATTAAATCCAAAATATTTGAGATGTAAATACCTCAATGGTCTTAATTGAATCCAAGTGAGGATATCCACATTTTGCTAATTCTAATTTACGTTGTGTCCAGATCCCCTAGATTCTAGGTTTGTCAAGTGTTAAGGCCTTATTTAGTTTGAAATTAGGTGAAACCCCTCTGAATATAAATTATTTATTGAGGAAATGATTCCAAATTTTCACTGAGCAATACAATTAATAATTAATGTTAAAGAAGTGATAAATGAATGTAAAACATATATTTAATTTTATTGACCCATTCCAGTTTTGTATATTTACGTATTTTATTACTTATTTTTAAATCATTGACCTAATTGTTGCTTATCGACTGGTCCTCCCCTGGTGATTCACCATGTAAGTTGGGGGGTTAAGAAAATTTTAAAACACTTTATATTTAAGTTATTTCATTCCCTTTGATGCCCCCTTTGTAGATGAGAAACTGAACAATTGAATGCACCAGCTTTTGTGAACAAAGAACCAATGTAGGCTGCTGAAGGGAGGGCAGCTCATAATAATGGCTGGAATTTCGCTAATGGAATGGCATCAAAAACATGGAAACCATGTGTTTGATGTATTTGATACCATTCCACTGATTCTGCTCCAGCCATTACCACAAACCCTCCTCCCCAATTAAGGTGCAAATAACGTTTTCCTTCACTGTGGGCATAAATGTGGCATTTATTTTTCATTGGGATTCAGAAATAAAGACTTTTTGGACAAATATTATGATTTTGATTCGTTCAATTCAATTAACTCAAGCTCCCCACTTGTATAAAGAGTGTATCAAGTAGCCTACAAATATTGTCCAGCACATCATTTGTAGGCCCATCCTCTGGAACTCTGTATTGGGCTGACAATGGAGGCCCAGAGCCAAATGCAGATCGCCCAGGCCAGCCCAGGATAGGGAGCAGATGTCCAGGGAGTCAGACCCAGGTGTGCCTAGGTCCAGCTGTGAGCCAAGCTCGGTTCTGGAACTCCATGTGGAGGGCGCAACACAGACAATTGCTGAATTCTCAATTGACCCCTATCCCTATCCTAAAAAATAAATTAAAAATCCTGTAGATTTGAAGGACATTTTTCATTACATTTGGGATGTTATTTCTTCAGCTAGTTCGTCAAGAAAATTCTGTTTCAGCAAAGCCATATTTGGCATACATAGTGCGCCATCTTCTGACTCAAAAGGCTATGCAGTCTATTATTGTATTTAGTCATTGGTGAAGGTTGCATTATATGCAGTTATTCCTGATCAAGATAGGCCTATCTTGGATAAAGTAAAATCATAAAATGATCACAAAATAAGAACACACATGAAAGGTTAAGCATTCGATTTTTTTGGGCACATAATGGGCAAATTAAGCATCTAAATCATCCATGACATGATAGTTTTACAGGAGGCTGATTTGAATTCATTATTATTTATAATTGACCATTAACAGAAATTACACCAATTTCAATAGCCTCCTATAGGCTACTATGTAATCAAGGGCGTGGATTTACAGGCTTTCCAAAAGGGCGTGGTATAGACATATAATTTAGTCTACCTGGCCTACCTGACAGTCTGGATGGGATGAGAAGGCATAGTCAATATCCGTAATAATAACACACTTTTGCAACATTTGAATTCATATCAGCAGTTCCAAATTCGCTGTTAGCCTACACAAGAAAATTGTTTTATTATAATGAAAACAAAAGACGTGACGTCATCACATAACGGTGCCCAATGCCCCTCACGTGAATGATTTTTAAACCACATTTTCAATATCCAAAAATATTTCAACAGGGATCTGTAAACAAATCTTCGTTAGACAACGCTTGTTCATATTTATTTGGGATAGACGTCGCTTTATAATCCTGCATTCGGCCTACATTAGAGCAGGTGCACCACCAGATAACTGAGCATCTAATATTCGTCGCTTGTCCTGCAGAGCGTTTGGAGGCGGCGCGCTGGTTAGACAGAAATGCCATAACAGCAGCATCGATATCACCACCCGAAGTGCATGTTATTCACCTGGACCCGCGTAACTACATCGATTTTAAGCCAAATTTGACCACAGACAGAATCGTCAAGGGATTGCGCCAAGGCTGGTGATATCGTTTGTTGCTTTTTGGTGGGGAGCAGCATCTGGAATATTGTAGGTAGGTGCTATGACTGTGCGATGATTTCAATATTAGAAAATGACATTAGTTTATCATGCCACTGGCCTAGGCCTATCTTATTTGGTGTGGTCGACGGCGATATTTTGGGTTAAAACGATAAAGATCTAGCTTGTCCGTGATTCACAGAATGGGGCAGTAGCCTGCTACAGCATATTGACGCTAAACACGCCCTTTTAATGTTAGCTACATTAATTGTAGCATTCTGCCCATCGCATTTCCGACAGTTGCATCCTCTGCCTATAGCTATTAGGCTATTGCGCCCTATCAATTGTATACATTGTATCGTAGTAGGCCTATGCGAAATAGCAATAGGGCTGGGCATATAAGCAGACATAATTATCATCATCATCCAGTCGGTTTGACTTCTCAAGCATTCGGCACCAGCTGCGCTGTCTGATCGGGTTATTTAACAAATTAAAGGCATTGGATTGAACTATTGGAGAAACGGGTCATGTCGCCTCAAGGACACATTTAGTCTGAGCTTGAATGTAACTGGGATTTCAATTATCCTATACCGGTACATGTTTCATAGAGGGCCTGCAGACATTCTGTAGGCTATCACGTGCATCTTATTGGCTTCTGACACCGGCCTGCAATGGAGTGTGGAAATTGATGCGATGCATTCTTAGTATGAATAATACGTGTGGTTATGAATCATTAAGATTAGCTTCAGAAATATGTTTCTATTTGAGATAAGCCTAACATTTGCTTTCTTATAGTCAGTATGTTGCTAAGACCTATTATGTAGTAATAATATCACCATAGGCCTACGTTGTTATTTTGTATGGGCAGCTCTGGTTTTGGGTGTCTTTAGGGCCTACTTAGCAGCAATATCACTTTCTCTGGTGTTCACTGTAACACAGAGCTATTGTAGTGAGGATTCTAGTTAGGGACAAACTATTGAGCACGAGAAACCTCTATGAAAAGTGATATTACACAAAACCATGGTTTTAAGAAATAAACGCACAGTGCTGTAGGGCTAAGACAGAGAAAAAAACAATTACATCTACTTTATAGCTGCTATAAAGACCTCTCCATCTACCCCTCTCCATTTATTTCTAATGTGAGCATTATTGCCTTCGTTTTGGTATCAGAGCAACACCACATTTGTCCATTGCAGGACACAGGCCCTCTTAAGCTTAAACCTCCCTGTTGAAAGATAAGCATTCAGATTACAGATAAAAGGCCTCAGATGCTGTTTGCTGCTATTAAAGCCCCCCTTCATTTCACAGTGTTATAAGGCTGTGCTATATCACTATTGCCGTGCTAGCAGTATCCCCCTGTGCTTAACACCCCTGATCTAATACACGTGATTCAGCATCCTGATGAGCAGCAAATGAGTAGAATCAGGTGTGTTAGAGCAGGGCTGGAACAAAAGCCTGAACAGCCAGTAGCTCTCCAGGAGAGAGCTGGCCGTCCCTGGTCTAGGGTGTGGTTCCAGTGTTTTAGTTTCCACATGTAGCATCTTGGGCCCTCTGTTTCACATCCCTTGCCACCAGTCCCAAAGCTTGCGGTGTCATAGCAGAGCTGACTTCTACCCAGAGGGCTATGGGCTTACCTACATCACTGCCCTAGCTACAGTACCATTCCCTGTTGGTGACAAACAGTAGTTACTGATCATTCTCACGGAACGCTTCATTAGTGTCATTTGAAAATAGGCTCTGTCTCGTTTCCACCTAAGCATGAGTCTGCCTTTGATTTTTCACTGATACCACCATCCTTTCTCATGTCATTTCCTGTGAATCAGCATCCTGCACGCCATGTTGGAAATGCAGTATGATTAGGCATGTTGGAAATGCAGTATGAGTGGTCCCATGAGTGAAATCAAATAACAGGTCAATCAATTCATGTCCTGCTCCCTCAAGGTAATCCATAGCTAGGCCTACAGTGAGATGATGGATGTACAATGGATAGTGACAGCATTGAAATCAGCAGTTGATAGTTTGTTGGTTGAGTTGATGAATAGGTTACAGTTCTCTGAAGTTCTCTAGCCATCATTTAACTCTATTTGCTGATGTGTCTATAAGACTTGACAGTGTGCGGCACTTTGTGTGTTACCACAACACTGGAACAGTGGAGAGATCTGTGCACTGGATGCATTTTATGATGGCAAAGAAATTGTAACATATGTTAAGGGACAATTGGTCAGTATGATCGAGCATGATTATGATGATGGCCTCCTCCCTGAATGTATACCATACTGTACATTGCACATGCCCTACCCAGACATACTGTATGCGTCTCCTGTGTGTCCCAGGATGCAAAGGGGTTTCCCGGGGGGCCTGTGAAGATGAGCGTGACATCATGGTTCCTGGTCAGCAGCTCTGGCACCCGCCACCGGCTTCCACGGGAGATGATCTTCGTGGGCCGGGAGGACTGTGAGCTGATGCTGCAAGTAGGTGATGTGACCCTGGCCCTGACCTGACGACCTCCTTTAAAGGCTTCATTTTTATGTTACTCTCTAATCAAATGCATCATTTTATCCTCAGGCGCAGATAACTAGAGATAGCAAGCGTTTCTACAGTGCAGTAGCATAGACCAGTGTTTTTTCAACCCATTCGGAGGAACCCTCAGGGGGTGCCCAATTTAGTTGTATCCCATCTGATTCAACTAATCAAGGGCTCAGTGGTTAGTTGATTAGTTCAATCAGGTGTGTTAGTGCTGGGCTAAGACAAAAATGGGCACCTCCTGAGAATCCTTCCAGAAACACTGGCTGACTATTTGTGTTATGGTAAAGGCTGTTTTTAGAACAATCTGATTGGCTACCATACAGTAGGAAGGGGCGGCATCAAGGGGAAATGGACATCAAACATCACAGAAATCACTGAAGGAAGCAGACGCCTCTCAACAAAGGTCTCTTATGTTGGTATGTTTAATGAGATGGTATATGTCGATAAGGTTGTCATCCGGTTAGGGGTAGCACTCTGTCTGTCGGCTGGAGATCACTACCTTATTGATGTGTGGGTAGAACAACAACAACTGTCATTTTACATACAGATATTTATAGCCACATTGATGTCCCATTTCAATGCGTAGTTCAGACGACTGTAACGTTACTCTGAAAAAGACGACTGGACTTTGAAATAGCCAATGACAAAAGCGTCTATCTACTATTTGTGTCAGGCTTTTGCCAGTCAAAGCCTCAGCCCTTGATATTACAAAAAGCAACGCCTAGATGTCAATACAAAAGATACACTCTGATTTGCTACTAGATGAAGACATCAGTTATCAACAAAAGTCTGCAGTGAAAAAGAGGCCATTTAGAGCACTGGGAGTTGTCAACCTTGACATGATCCAAAATGCGCCCAGTTTTTTTATATACAGTATATAGTTCCTGGCAGTTGCCATGGCGCCAGCTCGGAGATCCTGATGATTCAGAACTGTCTGCCTCACAGTGTCTTCCGATGTGGCCGTCCGTTGCCAATAGTAACAGCTGAGATGGACTTTTTCCTCACACGGCGAATGGCGGGCCTATTGCCATCCCGGAACAATATTGTGTTATAGGACTAATGCTTTCTCACCCGCTCCTTCTATCTAAACCTAATTGTTAGTATACCTGCACTTTAAAGTCAGTCTCCTCATCCTCCCGAAGCCCTCTGAAGGGGAGAAAGGCCTTCTCTTCCCTGTGTTGTGTGTAATTTACACTCCCTCCATATTGTTGGCCACAGATAACAAGCCTTTGTCCTTCTTTCCTACCTGCTTAGCCACAGCAGTGTCTGTGATTCAGCACTATTTATCACCCCCTTTTTTGTTTAGCGGTGAAAGCTACCTCATACATCTGGCAACAATGACGGTATTGTGTAGCTCAAAACACTATTTTGAATATATGACACACTGGTGCAGCTACACCATTTTATTGAACTGGATAATTTGTCATGATGTTATAATTTATTGAAAGCAGATACAATGCTTGTACAAAAATACTGTTTTGAGAGTAGACTGCCATTGTGGCCTTTTTAGTGCCATTACTGCCATAGAGTATTTTGTTCAGTGGTATGGAGCCCCCAGCTGAGGTGGTTCATGACTGAGTTGGACTACTACCCTTTGTCTATTGTATCAGGTTTCAGTATCACTAAGTCTTTCATCATTATGTGTTTAACGGTGATTTTTGCACTGAACTAGCCCAGCAACTTGGCTAGTCAAGGATCATATCACCTCTACCTTACCTGCCACTCTAGACCCACTTCAATTTGCTTACTGCCCCAATAGATCCACAGACGATGCAATCACCATCACACTGCACACTGCCCTATCCCATCTGGACAAGAGGAATACCTATGTAAGAATGCTGTTCATTGACTATAGCTCAGCATTCAACACATAGTACCCTCCAAACTCATCATTAAGCTCGAGGCCCTGGGTCTGAACCCCGCCCTGTGCAACTGGGTCCTGGACTTCCTGACGGGCCGCCCCCAGGTGGTGAAGGTAGGAAACAACACCTCCACTTCACTGATCCTCAACACTGTGGCCCCACAGGGTACGTGCTCAGCCCCCACCTGTACTCCCTGTTCACCCATGACTGCGTGGCCACGCACGCTTCCAACTCAATCATCAAGTTTGCAGATGACACAACAGTAGTAGGCTTGATTACCAACAATGACGAGACAGCCTACAGGGAGGAGATGAGGGCTCTGGGAGTGTGGTGCCAGGAAAATAACCTCTCACTCAACGTCAACAAAACAAAGGAGATGATCGTGGACTTCAGGAAACAGCAGAGGGTGCACCCCCCTATCCACATCGACGGGACCGCAGTGGAGAAGGTGGAAAGCTTCAAGTTCCACGTCGTACACATCACTGACAAACTGAAATGGTCCACCCACACAGACAGTGTGGTGAAGAAGGCGCAATAGCTCCTCTTCAACCTCAGGAGGCTGAAGAAATTTGGCATGTCAACTAAAACCCTCACAAACTTTTACAGATGCACAATTGAGAGCATCCTGTCGGGCTGTATCAACTGCACCGCCCGCAATCGCAGGGCTCTCCAGAGGGTGGTGCGGTCTGCCCAACGCATCACCGGGGGCAAACTACCAGCCCTCCAGGACACCTACAGCACCTGATGTCACAGGAAGGCCAAAAGGATAATCAAGGACAACAACCACCCGAGCCACTGCCTGTTCACCCCGCTATCATCCAGAAGGCGAGGTCAGTACTGGTGCATCAAAGCTGGGACCGAGCGACTGGAATAACCGCTTCTATCTCAAGGCCATCAGACTGTTAAATAGCCTTCACTAGCACATTAGAGGCTGCTGCCTATATACATAGATTAGAAATCACTGGCCTCTTTAATAAATGGAACACTAGTCACTTTAATAATGTTTACATATCTTGCATTACTCATCTCATATGTATATACTATTCTACTGTATCTTAGTCTATGCCGCTCTGACATTGCTCGTCCATGTATTTATTTATATATTCTTAATTCCATTGCTTTACTTAGATTTGTGTGTATTGGGTATATATTGTGAAATTGTTAGATATTACTTGTTAAATATTACTGCACTGTCAGAGCTAGAAACACAAGCATTTCGCTACACCCGCAATAACATCTATTAAACACGTGTATGTGACCAATAAAATTTGATTTGCTTCAGGTCACTGTCTGAAGCACTCTGGATACTTGTTTGGATGATGGCTCCTGTCCCATTTCACTTCCTGGATATAAACCCATTGGAACATTTCCCTCTTTCTTCTGCTATCTAGCCTTATCGCCTGTCATAGTAGGGAAATCCTTTTCAACTGACATGGCCAACTTTTTAGTATCTGTACTGTTTTGTGGGTGGGAAATGTATTGAGAAATGGATAGACGAACACTGCTCTTTAGTAGTGACCATCAAGGTGAAGCTTGCCATTGCGTTAGTGTACTCTGCACAGCCATGTTCAAGGCATTTGTATTAGGCACAGTAGTGAGTAGGAGGATGTGAATGTAAAGTACATTTTGCTCATCATTCATACAATTCACCAAATACAACTAGATACTATTAATTATCAAGTGAGTCATCCTCCAGTTCACTTGCCTTTTATAGAGGCCTGTTGGACATGCATCGCTCAGATTCTTGAGACAAAGACATGCTTTTAGATAGTACGGTATGTATTCATTATTAATCTTTAAATGGTGATATGGTTGTGAGAGTATTCTAACTCTTGCATAGTCACGTCCCACAAGAAAATAACACGTGTGGTAAAATGGATGCCACGTGGCTTAGTTTGAGGCGTCTTATGGTGAATTGTATTGAATTTAGCTAGTGAAGTCTTTCCCTCACGTGTAGTTGAGCAAGAGGAGTTAGGCTACATGTCTTCTTGGCATGAGTTTGTACTTTTGGTTCTGTTCCATTGGTTCCCATAGGGACTGAATCAAGTATTTGACATATGCGCGTGTAACCATAAACTTCCTAGCGTGAGGGTATAGAGTATCATACATAGTATTGACATGTTGCTTACTTCATATGAGTAATGGAGATATTGCAAAGTATTGAAAATAGTATTGCAAATTGCATCACTGCAGAATGTACATTATAGGAATTACAGTCACTGTCCGGCATGTGTAGTAATGGTACTTCTTAAGGTACAGATTTAGGATCTTAATTTGAGCCAGTTCGCTACAACAGGACTATAATTCTGCAGCAAGAGGAAATGTGGATTATAATTCATGGACATTTTTATAGGGATTGATACATTTTTTTGTAAGGGAAATTGAAGTCAGAAATTTCAAATGCAGGACATTTCTCCTGCAACAGGGTGATCAAATTAAGATCCTACATCTGTAGTATCAAATTATCTAAAAAGAGATTATAATATAATATGCCATTTAGCAGACGCTTTTATCCAAAGCGACTTACAGTCATGCGTGCATACATTTTTTTTTTGTGTATGGGTGGTCCCGGAGATCGAACCCACTACCTTAGCGTTATTGTAATTGTAGGGCACAGTTGAAGTAAACCTGCTCTGCAAGTAACCATCCATGGTTCTCTTTTCTTTTCTAGTCTCGAAGTGTGGACAAGCAGCATGCCGTCATCAACTACAACCCTGCTACCGATGAGCACCTGGTCAAAGACCTAGGCAGCCTCAATGGAGTGAGTACCCAGGGGAGGGAGGGGTAGAGAGGAAGGTACAAGCTAAAATACTTTCAATAGAAAGTTAAACTGTGTTTGGTACAAGGACTCCCCTTACTACACACAGAGACAGAAAGAGATAAAAAGGCCCTAGATGTTTCAGTATTCTATTAAGTAGTTCTAAGCCTAGCATAGTAGATAACCAGCTTAAGCAAGCACGTAATGGCACTTATCTCTTTTACATGGGTGTGTTAATGCTAGCTAAAAGAAGCAGGGAATTATGAGTAGGCTACTGTGCAGTGACAATGTAAATGCTGTGTCTTTACTTGCTATAATTAAGCAAAAATGCTTGAGGGGGTGTGGTATATTGGCCATTATAAACTGGGTCGTTCGAGCCCTGAATGCTGATTGGCTGAAAGCCGTGGTACAGTATATCAGACCATATACCACGTGTATGACCCCAATTTTTTTTTTTACTGTTTTAATTAAATTGGTAACCAGTCTTGGTTTGTGGTATATGGCCAATATAACACGGCTAATGGCTGTATCCAGGCACTCCGCGTTGTGTCAGGCTTCAGAACAGCCCTTAGCCGTGGTATATTGGACATATACCACACCCCTTCATGCCTTATTGCTTAAATATACCACGGCTAAGGGCTGTTCTTAGGCACAACACCTTACTGCTATTATAAACTGGTTACCAGCATAAATATACATATTTTTGCGTCATACCCATGGTATATTGTCTGATAATCACATGGCTGAAATGGTGTTTCAGCCAATCAGCATCCAGGACCCAAACCACCCAGTTCATAATGACATATACAACATGACAACTGCGGCCCAAAAGTGCTGCTGAGTCCATTTTACTGAATAGTCAAGGAACTATTTTCCTTTTAAATTGTAAAGGCCTCCAGATAGTGCTGTGAGATGGGAAATCGTTGGGTCGGAGCGGGAGACTAGCTGTTAAATATTTAACAGAACTGTTTGTTGTGCTGCTGATGCAGACTTCCCTCAGTAGTAGGCGGGCAACATGGAAACATTCCAAGTAGCTTTCACTAGACTAGATCGATCATGTCAAATCAGCACTGCGCTACCATTAGGCTAAGGACTTGTATCTAAGGGCCTGTATCTCTGCATCGTTACATCTCTAGCAAACATCTCCTGTTTGCATCCGGGTTGTTTTGTCTTCATTTGTGGTCCAGTGGGCAGTGCCACTAGTTTACCCTGGCCTTAACCATACAGTTACTCTTCTGTACCGGACTGAAATACCACTGAAATTCTTGTGTTGAAGGTGGATGAGTGGTGCACAGTGTCTATCCCAGGACCTCATGGAGACTCATGTTACATGTCATCCTTCAATAACTCCTGTTTACAGTAACCAACCATGTTGTGTTCCCCTCTAGACCTTTGTGAATGACCTGAGGATCCCAGATCAGACCTACATCACCCTAAAGCTGTCTGATGTCATTCGCTTCGGATATGATATCCTTTTTCTCACTCATGTCATAAATGCATAATTCTTGTGCCATATATGCATAATATATGAATATCGGCTTTGGAATTTGATTGAAATGCTTGTCTGTGATGTGGTTGGCTATTGCCTTAACCTAGTATTTACATTCCCATGTGTACATCCTGGAGAAGAGCCAACACAAGGTCCCAGAGGAGGCACTCAAGGTCAGCTTTCTATGCTAATAGATTATATTAAACACTACACCCTAACCTGGACTAGCTTTTCAGACAGTTCTGGCCTACCATCGCTTCATTTAGCTAGATCTTTCTTGGGCAACTTGAGTGTGTTCTTTTTGTGAGTTGTTGCACCTCCTGCTGTTCCAGCATGAGAAGTACACCAGCCAGCTGCAGATGGGTCTGAAAGCCTCAGAAGGGAAGAGGGCTGAGCACCTGGATGACAAGTCCAAGCTAGAGAAGACAGACAGGAAATCTCTGTCTCAAGGTAAGCGTTAGCGAAGGCTTCAAACCTGTTTAAATGCTCTTCCACCATATATTCCCACAGTAGTTTTTTTTTTTCTCTCATCAAACAAAGCTCATTGGTAAGGGGTCTACACGTAGTGCTCATATTGATAGACCTGTTTGGATAACTACATTATTTGGTATAAGCTTTGAGCTCATGACAACTCAGGGAATTGGGACATCATGGTTGCTCTCTCTTCATTTATTTCACTGCTTAATCCTTAAAATTGTGTCAATCTAATGAACATAATACAAAAATCCCCATCGAAATCAGTCAGTTTAAGCTAGAGATATCTGTTTTTTGGCTGCGTCCCAATCCACTGCATCCGCCTATGTTGCCCTTCCGCATCTGAGGTGGAGGGACATGGTGTATTTATTTAATGATACAAACACAGCTGTTTAACTTGGCTGAATATCCTAGATCATTCTGATTTTATCAACTGTGACTCACTAATACCTGGAATGGTATGGTGTGTTAGGATGATGAGGATTTTAACTTTGCTCTGCTCCTCTAAAGAAAAAGCAAACGTCCATGTCCCTTGACCGTGATGTCGGCATCAGCTCATCCTATTTCCGTCAGAACATGTTCCCCCTCCCCCTCTTTTCATCCCTCCATCCCGCTCTCTGCCTCCCTCACCCTCTTCGGCGGCTGCATGTGGTCACATCCAGTCTCCATGGTGACGGCGACCGCACCCGTAGTCACAGTTCAGCTCAGCACCGATGGCCTGCTTGATTTTAGCTCTGTGTAATTCACACTGGCATCCCCCCCTGTCAAGTGCTCTGCCAGAAGGTTCATGTAATCCTTACGCCATAAACAGGTCATGATCAACTATCTATCGACTAAAGGCGCTGATGCAAAAGCTTTTATAGGCTGCTTGTGTTGTGACCTCTCTGGCTGATGAGTCCCTTGCCCTGTGAGGCTTTGATGATATAAGTATAAGCTAGTGGAAAACAACTGAATCCACACTCAAATCAACACAGAGTTATTCTCCTCAACACTGCAGCCTTTGCAGTAAAAACCTTGAAAGAACGCTGCCTCAAGATCCACTGGATGTGTTGGACACATTGGATGAAATACTATGTCATAAATAACAAGCTTTATGTATGTCTGATTTGATGTATTCTAGTGGGGTAGAGACAAACCTTTAAACTCCCAGTGGACCAATAGTAGATGATGACTGCTGCAAAGAAATGACTCCTCTCTCCTTTGGCTCTGTGTGTGTGTGCGCGTGGGTGCATGGTGCGTGTTCAGAGACTCCAACCTCCCGGCCCACTCCATTGTATGGCCAGCCCTCGTGGTGGGGGGAGGAGGATGCGGCCAGCAAAGGACAGCAGAGTGAGGGACTCAGGCCAGAGGAGGGTCACCCAGGTCAGTGAATCCTCGATTCATACTATTTTCATTTTATTACATTTCATGTTAAAATGTTTGCATTTCCTTTTTAAAGAATATAAATAAACAAAAAATGGTTTGTGCTTGTCTTTTAATTTGCTTGTGTAGCCTAATTGGTGCTTTGACACCTATCCATTTGCAGAGATTCCAAAAGAAGGTTCAGCGTTAGATTCAGAGGTGAATGGCTCCCTGTTAGAGTACAGGGACGCTCAGGGCAAGTCCATCTTCCCCTATCCATCGGGAGCCCAGCTACTTTGAGATCCCTACCAAGGATTTCCAGCTGCATCCCAAGTCCCCGGGGGCAGAGCTCCATGAGATCCCCACCAAGGACACGGACACGCCCCTTGCCCCTCCCCACCCCACCTCGCCCACTCCCCCCGTGGTGCAGAGCCACGCCTCCTTCACCATAGAGTTTGATGACTGCACCCCAGGCAAGATCAAGATCAAGGACCACGTGACCAAGTTCTCCTCGCGCCAGAGGAAACAGCAGCAGCAGGCCACCACGCCCACTGAGGTGATGTCAGCCGAGTGCAAGGTGGCAGATTGGTTGGTGCACAGTGATGTCAGAATGATGAGGAGGCGTCCCACGTGTGAGGATGTTTACAGTGTCAAGAGTGACCAGGCCGTCAACATCAAGAGCCTCAAAGGTAAGAGAGTGGTACTTTCAAATAGAAACGTTCATAGAAATCTATAAGGTCTTGGAAGGTATGGGAAGGGGCTGTTTATGTGTTTTCTGTCCCTCATTTGTGGTTTGAATTTATCTGTTTCTAGGACACCACCATGACGATGGGACCCAGAGTGATTCTGAGGACCCGGTTTTAGGGAAAGGGAAGCGAAGCAAGTCACACCACCGGATCCAGTCGCAACATTCAATCCAGTCTGCGCTTTCCCAGTCAGAGCTGTCAGAACTGTCACAACAGACTGTGCTGTCATACCAATTAGTCCAGTCACACCAGACACAGCAGACAGTCCAGTCGCACCATTCGATTCAGTCCAACCAGTCAGTGCCGTCACACCAGTCAGTCCAGCCACACCAGACAGACCAGTCAGTTCCGTCGCAGCAGTCAGTTCCGTCACAAAGGTTACTCCAGCCTCAGTTTTCTCCGCCCAAACTGACCCCAGTCTCTCCTGTGGCCCCCGAGAGGCCCCTGTCTGAAAGCCCTCCTGAGGCTCGCTCCCCCACCATGGGCCCCTCTAAGCCCGACCCCCAGGAGCCCCTCAGCCAGCAAGCATTCATCATAGAGTTCTTTGACGACAACCCCCGCAAAAAACGCTCACAGTCCTTCACAGCCAACCCCGCCCATGCAGATTCTTACTCCGCCCTCAAGTCCAAGCTTGAGCGGCGGAAGGGCGGGGAGAGGCCAAACTCCATGCACGGACACATCCCCCCCACCCAGCAGGTGACTGTTCCTCTGAGGGGCCAGGGCCACGGCGGGCCCCAGAGGTCTAGCACCCTGAAGAGGGAGAAGACAGAGGAGCCCCTGAGTGGAGGCAGTGCCTCCTCTTCCTCTGCCTCCGGTTCTGGGCCTTCCTCTCGCGCCTCCTCTGGCATCACCATCAAGCCCTTTGGCAGTGTGGGGAAGAAGTCCAAGATGGCCAAGGAGTTTACAGCAGAGTTCCTGATGATGAAGGATGCAGGCCACAGAGCCTTGTCCCCCACCAGAGATAAGACGTCTCCTCCCATGTCCGCTCCCCCGGTGATGATGATGTCACCCTCTCACACCCGCATTCCGTCTCCCTTAGTCCCCCCTTCATCTGTTTCCTATCCCTCCACCCCCTTGCAACCCTCTGCACCGCATTCCTACTCTCCAACTCCTGCCCCTCATTCCCCAGTCCTAGCCCTCTCCCACCCCCCCTCCCGCAGCCCTGTCCAGACTGCCTCCCCAGTCTGCTCAGCCGTCCCCTCCATGCCCCCTCTAATGCCCCTGGGTCTGGGGGTGTGTGGGGTGGACCCTAAAGCCTCCAGGGTGGTGAGGAACGAGGAAGAGGACAGTCTGAGTGATGCCGGCACATACACCATCGAAACAGAGTCCCAGGACAAAGAGGTGGAGGAGGCACGCAACATGATCGACCAGGTGAGAAGGTAGCAGCCAGAGGTTCACCTTACTCATTCTCCATTTTTAAAGTCTGCCAACACCATGACTTCTTAGGGGGGATGGTGGACCTTTTCACATGCTGCGTGTAATTATTGTACTGTATCTTTTCAACTGTTTGGATTCTGACGTTAAATGCTACGATTCTTACAAGTGGTATAGTTCTAGAATAAACAATATAATACCTTAATAAGAATACCTTGAGGGACGCATGCTTAGAACTTCCTCCCCCTACCCAGTACACCCTTCCACCCCTTCCTTCCTTCTTCCCCTTGCAAAGTCCCATTGTCCCTTCTCTTCTCCTACCTACCTCATGCATGCTCTGTCCCTCCCTGACAGGTGTTTGGTGTCCTCGACTCACCGGAGTACAGTGATGCCGGAGTGTATAGACCCATCATTAATGATGGCAAGGACGAGCTGGCAATGCTCCGGCCTAGCGACGGTAGCACTGTGGATCAAATGAAAGCAGTGTCTATGCATGGCTTTAACCCAGCTGCTCTCAGTGGGGCCCCCTCAGGCCCCTTCCAGGTAACCTCACCATCCTACGCTACGGGAGAAATAAGGGACCTAAAACGTTTGCATGTTCCACCTCAAACCTATGCATGGTTATCATTTGTCCTTCCTTGATACTCCCTTTGGCTTCTACAGTGCCTCTTTAAAATGTAAGGATTGTTCTTGGAAGGAGATTATAATTATGTTTATCCTCTGTATCTAACCCCTCATAGTTTCCTCCACTGTTTCAGGTGCCGTCTGCTAACACTGCAGCACAGGAGGAGGGGCCTAAGTGGGTTTCTCGCTGGGCTGGTCTGGCAGACAGCTATGCAGAACCAGGCTCTACTCCACCTCAAGGGGAATTTGCAGAGGGAGGTGAGTCATCTGCACCCACTGACCGCTCTGCTCAGAACTTATGTGAGCAAACTGAAAAAAGCCTGAATTAAAATATGTTTCTCTTTCCTAGATTTGCGATTGATGAGTCGGTTGATGCCTAGCCACAGCGTGGATAACTCTGAGTCAGATGGGAGCCAGAGTTGTAGGATCAGGAGACTGCTTCCCCAGGTTCCCCCTGGAGACAGAGAGAAGCCAGAAAGCCCCACCCCCAGCATCCTGATCCGCCACGAACCCCCCTACCCAGGCCCAGAAACCCCCCTGGAGAGGAGTAATGGTACGCCCCGGCATCAGGACACCACCCAGAGGCTGTGTGTCCAGGACGATGTAGACCCAGACAGCCTGAGTGATGCCAGCCGCTCTGACGATGGCTCTGTACTGGAGAGGACCAGGAAGAGCCAGGGGAGGAAGAGTGGCGCTACCTTGCCCGGGGACACTGGACCTCACTATAGGGGTCAAGATAAGCTGTCTCCGACTCAGTCTACCAAGTCCACCTCCTTTTACATTGGTTCTGAGGAATGTAGCTTAAGCAAGCCGGACCTGGCCCGAAGCCCTTTTCTGTCTCAGGGGCTTGAGAGGGGGCGAGAAGCCCCTGCCAAAACCTCCCCCACCACCGTCCTCATTAGGCACCTGAGCAGCCATGAGCCCCGGAGGTCAGGCGTCAAGCCAAACAACTCCGCTCCAAACCTCCACTCCCAGCAGGACAAGGAGTCTAAAGACGCTCTAGGGACTTCCTCATTCGTCAGGCAGGAAAGCTTCACCAAGGAGCGACCCAGTGACGACGTCCAGATCAAGAGGCTCCCCCACATCTCCAGTCACCCCACCCTGAGGGACATGGAGCAGAGGAGTGAGACGGCCCAGGACCCACAGCCCTTCCTCAGGGAAACCGCAGACGCTGCTCTCTCCTCCCTGGAGGTCAAGTTACCCTCCTCAGGCTCCGGACACAGTTCTAAGAGAGGAGGCTCCTCCAGTCACGTGGATGACTCTCTGTCTGGGGAATCAGATGTGGATACAGCCAGCACCGTCAGTCTCGTCAGCAACAAGAACACCCCCGTCACCACAGGCCCCAAGAAGAGGACGGCCGCCAGGTCCTCCTCCAGTACGTCTGTCCAGGAGAAGGGCCACCGCCAGCCCACGGCCCGCGAGCGCCTGTCAGAAAAACGCCGCAGCCACGCAGCTGCCGGTGATAACTCCAGCAGCAAGGCCGAGCAGGCCAAGCGCTTCCAGATGCGGCGCAGCACGGGGAACCGCGGTTCACTGGACCTATTAGGGGACCAGCAGGGTTCTAGCCAGCACTGGCCTGACACGGCCTCTGACCATGAGACCGGCTCCCGACCCGCCAGCTGCAATAAGAAGCTCATAGCTCCCCTACAGAAAGAGGACAATGGGAAGACCCCCAAGAGTGCAGCACAGCAGGCACTGATCCGCTCCAACAGCCTGTCAGCACCACGGCCCACCAGAGCATCCATGCTGCGCAGGGCACGCCTGGGAGAGAACTCTGACAATGATGGTACTGAGACTGACCGGGGATCCCAGAACTCAGACCACATCGGTGCTCCCTCCAAGGTGTCTGCTGATGGGAAGAAGCTCCTCTCCAGACTGGACATCTTGGCCATGCCCAGGAAGCGAGCAGGCTCCTTCACTACGCCTAGTGACAACGAGTCCTCCATCACCACCCCTACAACCCGGCCTGGCTTCTCCAACCGGAGTGCAGAATCAACTGGGCCGGTCAGGAAGACCTCAGTGGGTGAAGCAGGGGCCAAGCAGGGAGCCAAAAGAGGAGCCGGAGCTCCTGGGAAGCAGCCCCTCACCCGCACACGCTCCAGCGGGGCTAAATACTCCAGCACAACCAGTGAGTATTATTGAAGTCACCATTGAGTAACTTCTCAATCTGCATAGCCATGCTATTTGCTTGCACAAAGCAATGCAGAGAATTCATGTTTTTTTATCCTGAATTGTAATTTATGATTTAAAAGTCATACACTCATACAAAAAGAGGTGCTATCTAGAACCTAAAAGGGTTCTTCAGCTGTCCCCATAGGAGAACCATTTGAAGAACCCTTTTTGGTTCCAGGTAGAACCCTTTTTGGTTCCAGGTAGAACCCTTTTTGGTTCCAGGTAGAAACCTTTTGGGTTCCATGTAGAACCCTTTCCACAGAGGGTTCTACATGGAACCCAAAAGGGTTCTACCTGGATCCTAAAATGGTTCTACCTAGAACCAAAAAGGGTTATCCTATGGCCTTTTGGAACCATTTTTTCTACGAGTGTATACTGTATATCACATTTTAAGACTGACCGGAGATTGTCATGATACAAATGTATTATTTTTATGATACTGGGATGTTGTGTATGTGTTCTTAAGCGGTCACCATAAATGATAATTTTCAGGACCATAACTGCCTGCCTGCCACTGGCTCAATACAGACTTTCACTGCAACAGACACATTTTCACGTTACACTAATGAATTGTTATTCTTGATTTAAAAGTCATACAGTGCCGTGAAAAACTATTTTCCCCCATTCTAATTTTCTCTACTTTTGCATATTTTTTTATACTGAATGTTCTTCAACCAAAACAACTACAGGAAGCATTTGGTTACAGTCATTGTAGGCAGTTAAAGGTGGCACAACCAGTTATTGAGTGTAAGGGGGCAATTACTTTTTCATACAGGGGAATTGGGTGTTGCATAACTTTGTTAATTAAATAAATAAAATAAGTATACATTTTTTTTATTTGTTCACTCAGGTTCCCTTATCTAATATTAGGTTTTGGTTGAAGATCTGCTAACATTCAGTATAAAAAAATATGCAAAAAAAGAGAAAATCAGAAAGGGAGCAAATACTTTTTCACGGCACTGTATGTGATAAAATGTCTAGTTCTGGTGCACATAAAATCACGGGCCACAGAGTATTGAAACAGGGCATGACAATGAGTTGAAGTGACCTTTTCCACCCTTCATAGTGAATGTGACTCAGTCTCCCTTTTGAGATGCATGCTGGTAGGCTGTATTTTGGCTTGTCCTGTAGGAGCTCAGTGTAGTCGCTACGAAGCAGTGTGATGATGCTGCCTGCTGCCGTTTCCATAGAAACACAGCTCCTGGCCGGACGTCATCACATAGCTATTTGTCATTTTGACATTTATCCGAAATGTGATGTGCATGTACAGTGCCTTCAGAAAGTATTCATACCCGGTGACTTATTCCACATTTGTTGTGTTACAGCCTGAATTCAAAATAGATTAAATAAATAAAACATCTCACTCATCTAAACACAATACCCCATAATGACAAAGTGAAAACATGTTTTTAGAAAAAATTCAAATTCATTAAAATTGTGCAACATTTACCATTATTATTTTCAAAATACTTCAAGCTCTGTCAAATTGGTTGTTGATCATTGCTAGACAACCATTTTCAGGTCTTGCCATAGATTTTCAAGTTGATTTAAGTCAAAACTGTAACTCGGCCACTCAGGAACATTCACTGTCTTCTTGTTAAGCAACTCCAGTGTAGATTTGACCTGTTTTAGGTTATTGTCCTGCTGAAAGGTGAATTCATCTCCCCGTGTCTGGTGGAAAGCAAACTGAACCACGTTTTCCTCTAGGATTTTGTCTGTGCTTATCTCCATTCCATTTATTTGTTGTCCTGAAAAACTCCCCAGTCCTTAATGATTACAAGCCATAACATGATGCAGCCACCACTATGCTTTTAAATATGGAGAGTGGTACTCAGTAATGTGTTGTATTGGATTTGCCCCAAACATAACACTTTGTATTCAGGACAAAAAGTGAATTGCTTTGCCACATATTTTGCAGTATTACTTTAATGTCTTGTTGCAAACAGGATGCATGTTTTGGAATATTTTTATTCTGTACAGGCTTCCTTCTTTTCACTCTGTCAATTATGTTAGTATTGTGGAGTAACTACAATGTTGTTGATCCATCCTCAGTTTTCTATCACAACAATTCAACTCTGTAACTGTTTTAAAGTCACCATTGGCCTCATGGTGAAATCCCTGGGCGGTTTCCTTCTTCTCCGGCAACTGAGTTAGGAAGGACGCCTGTATCTTTGTAGTGATTGGGTGTATTGATACACCATTCAAAGTGTAATTAATAACTTCACCAGGCTCAAAGGGATATTAAATGTCTGCTTTAAAAATAAATAAATAAATACATCTACCAATGGGTGCCCTTTTTTGCCAGGCATTGGAAAACCTCCCTGGTCTTTATGGTTGAATCTTTGTTTGAAATTCACTGTTCGACTGAGGGACCTTACAGATAATTGTATGTGTGGGGTACAGAGATCAGGTAGTCATTCAAAAATCATGTTAAACAATATTATTGCACATAGAGTGAGTCCATGCAACGTATTATGTGACTTGTTATTAAGCACATTTTTACTGAACGTATTTAGGCTTGCCATAACAAAGGGGTTAAATACTTATTGACTCAAGACATTTCAGCTTTTCATTTTATTAATCTATAAAAAAAAAATGAAAAAAAAATTCCACTTTGACATTATGGGGTGTTGTGTGTAGCCAAGTGACCAACACATCTCAATTTAATCCATTTTATATTCAGGCTGTAACACAGCAAAATGTGGAAAAAGTCAAGGAAGGGGTGTGAATACTTCTGAAGGCACTGTAAATTAGTGACCCATATTATGCATAGATGGTGTATTACGTATCAGTATCTATTGTGGAGTAGTATTGGCAATCCCAAGGGTCTGGCAATGACTAATGTTGTTATTAATATTCATCAGGGTTCTCCCCAGGATTTTTTTTATAAAGGTGGTGCTGCTGCTGAGTAAGGCTGGGGGAGGCTTGATTTCTGCTGAAACTTTTTTTTTAATGTATTTATTTTTGTACACTTTTTTTTGCCTTTGAGCAAGGCACTTAACCTTAATTTGCTCCAGGGGTGCCGCATTTCATGGCTGACCCTTTAACACAACACATTTCACTGCACCTATACAATCTTTTTTTTTTTTTATGTATGCTGTAACTGCATGAGATATGGATCAAATGAACAACTGTGCTGTTATCTGGTAGGTTCCCGTCGAAGGCAGAAGGGTTCAGACTACACCTCCACATCTGAGGAGGAATATGAGGCCAGCTCTGGAACCCCCAAACACAAACGCTCCTCCCACACGTCTGCTGCCACACAGACTCCCCGGGCCCAGAAGGAGAAGGCTGCAGCAGCAGCAGTCGCCCGGTCCAAGTCCGGCTCACTGGAGACTGAGGAGGACGAGGTCCAGAATGAGGATGACCACTACCAGAACTGGACCACACACAGTGCCGAGATAGCAAAGTAGGGTGGCATAATGGCACTAACTATGGCGTCACTGTGTATCACCTGGCTGAAACCACTTATTGAGTCTTATGATTGGCAGCTGTAGAACATGCATTCTGTACGTATGTATTTTTTATGTGGTCGTGACTTGTTTGTGTCTTCCCAGGCTCAGTCAGGACTTGGCCAAGGACCTTGCCATCCTGGCCCGTGAGATTCATGATGTGGCGGGGGATGGGGACTCCCAGAGTTCCTCTGGAATGGGCACCAACCCCTCACCCAGCTCTGCACCCAACACACCCGGGCCCGCCTCCACCATCCCCATCTCTAGCCGGGAAGAGGTGTGCCCGCCCACTACCCATAATACACTTCAAACATGCCCCCCTGACCTGCACCTCACGCTATGTACAGTTATTTCCATCCCTTTGTAATGTTCTAATGCATAATAAACTGCACTGCAGCCTATGGGAATTTCCTTCCCTCTATAAGTTATTTTAGACATGTGCCACTAAATATCTTACATCAAAATGATGTACAGGCTCATTGACATGTGCAAAGGATCCATTCTAATTTTTTAGATTATCATGAGCATGTCTCTGTTCTCTACTGTACAGAGGCCATGTACATGTTTGCGAGTGGTACTCCCATCACAGGTGCATACCTCAGATACATCCGTCTGTCTCTCTCTGTCTCTCTGTCTGTCCTGCAACGGTTTATATTTTCTCCCTTCACCTCCCACACTCTTCAGGCTATCATCACTCTTCAGGCTATCATCACTCTTCAGGCTATCATCACTCTTCAGGCTATCATCACTAATCCAAACACTTGTATGCTGCTGGATTGTCATGCTACAGATTCTGATTTATATCATACTGGGATGTTGTATGTGTTCTTAATGAGCGTTTATGGTGACAGCTTTTCAGGACCATAACTGCCTGCCTGCCTGTCACTGGCTCACTACAGACTTTCACTGTCACTGCAACAGATACCTTTTCATGTTCCACTAATGTCGCTTTTTTTTCCCGGGCTTGTATCCCAGCAAAACTAAAATTCACTGCTCACAGTTCAACTGCTCTCACCACCGCATGTTGCCTTGGAGCATGTAATCACAAAGCACTAGTCACACTGGTCGATTTTTCTCTAGTACAATATAACAAAGATATTGTAACTTTTTTTATTCTCACTGTGCCCTTGAAGTACAGTAGAAGGCCTTGAGGCACTGTCTCAGTAGTCATGGTCATGTCAGTTGTTCAGAACGTGCGGACCATGCACTGATTCTATTCTCTTTCCAGCTGGTCCAACATATCCCTGAGGCCAGCTTAAACTACCAGAAGGTTCTACTATCGCCAGGTTCTGCTGCTGTCATGGACATGGATCCTAACATGAATGACCAAGACCCAAGCTCTAAGCCACGGTGGAACCGTGAAGAGGTCACTTACCTGTCACACTTGTTTCTCCTCCATTTTAGAATAGTACTTTCACTAACTATCAATGATTTGGAAACCTAGGTATATCACAATTATTACAAAGCTGGCTCACGCAGAAAAAAAATGAGCTGTTGCAGTTAGTTTTGGTCTTCTGGGAATTAGACTAAAGTATATTAATGCATGGGAAACTACTTTGGGTGTTTGACATCCACCATTTTCTCCCTCTAGGTGATTTTGGACAATTTGATGTTGAACCCTGTTTCTCAGCTCTCTCAGGCCATTCGGGAGAACACAGAACAGCTGGCTGAGAAAATGAAGTAAGGGAACTTGATGTACCTTGGCTCCTACCTTGTGTTATTTTAACATAATTGTATGTAATGGAAAAGAGCTAGTCAGTGATTTCCTCTCTGCTTGGCTCTGTTAGATTATACAGTCCTTTGTTTTTTTTTCTGTCAGGGTTTTATTCCACAACAAGACTGAGGCCTGGGAGGAGATTGAAGCGAAGATCAATGCTGAAAACGAAGTCCCTATCCTCAAAACATCAAATAAGGTACAGCATTGGTAGCCAGTCACATCTTACATTGGTAGCCATTTTGGTGTAAAACTGAGGACATTATATGGGAAAATGTAATCGTTTTAATTCTGTCACAGGAAATCTCTTCTATCCTGAACGAGCTGAGAAGAGTACAGAAACAACTAGAAAGTAAGAGTTACACATGGGTTATTCTTTGTTGTTAAAATATATATATATATATATATTCCTAAAATGTACTGGGAGTGCAATGTAGAATTGCTTTTCCTGAACGGCTTCATGTCTGCATGACCTATTCAGGACATCTAAATAAAGCTGAAAGCATATGATCCAGTAGTCCTATGGAATCTAATAGAACACGGAATGTTCCTTTGTTGTAGTGATCAACAGCATTGTGGAACCCGGTGGAGCTGGCAGTGGGAACCCTAAGGTGGCAGCGGTGGCTGCTGCTGCTTCAGGAGGACAGGCCACCAAGTCCCCCTCGCGGCAGAAGAAATCCCCCAGTAAGCCCGCTGGGCCTGGGGACAGACAGCGTGGTGCGGGCCCTTCAACCAGCCCCACCACTTCCAAACCCAATCCCAACGAAAGCACCAAGAGGACCACTCGAAGCCCCAAAGGGGCAAACTTTATGGCCTGATCAGTGTTCCCAGGCTTCTGTAGCATCTCCTGGTGGTGACTGCCTCCCTTCACCACACTGTCATTTTTTATGTAAAACTATCATGATACAGTATACTGTATGCGTTGTGACTGGTAAAGGTGTACTGTAAGTAACTTGAGTACCGCTGTTTAGAATTGCTTCTTCCACATTGTACAAGCTCAACTTTAAGTAGGCAAAGCTGAGTAAAATAAGTTGTAGCTTGTCGCTTTAATAAGTGGATTGTGTACAAAATAATGTCCATATGCCTTGTCTACTTGTTCTGTACAATGTGTAGTAGCCCAGTACTGTAGGTTTGGCCAGATGCCCAAGATAAGACAGGCTACATCCTTGCACATTCTTTGTTACCATAGTGATAATCCTGATGAAAACACTCCTAGGTGTCCATGAGAACATGTGATGGGCTACTTCAATGACATGCCAAAACAGAGCAGCATTAGAGAGGGTGTTAGTAGTGTTCTGTGCTTGTCTTGTAAAATATGATTCATTGAATATTCCTGAACGACTGGGATATTTTACTGCTTGGCAAATAGCTACTGAATGAACTGACTGACCACCACTCTCCCTTTTTTCTCAAGTTGATTTGTTCTATATGAATGCTGTGCGTACAGAATGTTAGAAAAGTGTGTCATACAATGTTTGGGATCCCAAATAAATGCAGTATACACTATACAGCATCATAAAGAGGGGGAAAAGCATACTTGGCATAACATTTTCATATGCTGCCTTTTTTAATTAATGAATTTGTTAATTTAGGTCAATCGACTGAGGTATTATTTAAGTCCTACATTTTGTAATTCTGTACCAAGCTTTGGCTGACACTATCAATGATAAAGCGTCATGGTTGTGATTTCATGTTATTGGCAGTGGCACTATATTTCTGTCAGGGTAGTTGATAGTATGATACTGATGTAGCTTCTTGTTCTGGTGTGTCTGAATGAGAGAATGTTTGAGGATTTGAAGGGATGAATGAACCTATGTGCTTCAAATTAGTAAATTGGCCCAAAATTGACTGTATTGTAGTGCACTAGCTCTGTAAAGGTAGAATGGAGCAGTTCCTTATTGTCCACTGTAGCTCAGTTGGTAAGCATGGAGCTTGCAACGCCAGGGTTGTGGGTTCGTTTCCCAATGGGGGCCAATATGAAAAATGTATGCACTCACTAACTGTAAGTCGCTCTGGATAAGAGCGTCTGCTAAATGACTAAAATGTAAAAAATGTAATGTGTGTGTGCACTAAGAATGCCTGTGAGTTATGTAGCTGTTGTGGGCTGAGCCAATGTTACAGTTTATTCCCTCCGTCTGCAAAGGCAGCTGGGATGTGTGGGATTGTGTGTGATGAATCCTGTATAGATGTAAGTTAAAGAATAAGAACGGACAAAAAAACAATTTTATGCATGTGTAACATAATTATGTAGTTTAGTTGGGTGAGAGTTCAGGCTAGTTCACCAAATGTGCACTTTTTCATTTTGAGATACACCTCATAACCCATGGGTGGAACTGAAAATAAAGCAGTATGTTTAATTAAGCAGTAAATACAATGACTTGTGGCTGAAATTGAGGTTTTAATAGGCTGTTTTAGAGTATCACTTATCAGTTTGATTTCTGTCAAGTACTTAATCCTACAACAGATCATATCTATGCTAAATGTAAAGCTTTTTTTTTTTCAGTCATCAATGGTGCCATGGTGTTCACTGACCCTAAAGCTATTGAGAATGTATGGATTTGTCACCTACCCAGAACAGACATCTGACTGGCTATTGGTCTGATTATGTCACCTTTGCTGCTATGGGTGATGTCAGCTTTGGGCTACTTGCTTCTCAATATTAATTTTGTTTTTGCTACAATGCATGTAACTCAAGCTGTATAAAAATACAATTGGGGCGGGAAAAAATTACTGCAAAGTGCAAACCAAACTGTATGTGAATATCTGTTGCTATTCGTCAAAAACAGTTTTTTTAAAATGACTTTGATGTTATGGTCATACTGAAGGCTACAATGTTGTTTTTCCAAATTATTTATTTAATATTTTTGTTGTACTGAATATATTTACAGATGTTATGCCATGGACTTTACATACCAGTTTGTACATCATCATGAACATTGATTTGTACCATCATATAATTTGTAATAAACTGATTTCAGTCATAAATGCTGTATTTTATTCTAGATGTTATATTTAACAACAACAAAAAAAATGCATGATGACATATAGAACAATTGTACACTACTGCTGCATCATGGTGTCAGTCTTTCTAGAGACAGATGGATTGCCTCCCACAATGTACCAAATAATGTTTGAGCTTATAGTCCTGGAACAGTGCTGTCGCTGCCCTAGGTCTGGGATTTCTGAGACTATCATGTTGTGGGTAGGCCTACACTTTGGGAAGGAGTGGGGAGTTTGGAACAAAAGAGCAAAGCCTAGGTAACATCTTAGATTGTTATTGTTCTGATGGGAGGAATTGTAATTGAATTGTTCCATCAAACTAAACTATGGCTCCCCATAAAACCATGTCTGCCCTTGGGTCGTAAGCATCACCGTGGCTCACAGATGTTGTAGGCCAGACCCACACCAAATCTCTAAATCTCTGCTATGTGACAATATTTGAAGATTGCTGTCCACCAATGATCCCCAACCAAACAGAGATTTTGCAATTTTGTCAACAACTTCAAGAATGGATAGCCTAATGTTTCCTCAGGTGTACAAAGCATGGACTCCCACAAAGTTGGTGGAGAGACACTTCAGTCCAGTAGGTGGCAGTAATGCACCATTAACGTTGGTAGCCAACCACAACACAACAGAAGAAAAAGTGTCTCGACTGCGTTTTCGCAGATTTGTTAGGCTAGCTTTGTAATAATGGTTACTCCCCTATTTAGACGTGTTCCCGTTATTTTTGGTTAAAAGTAACAGGCTTTGGGGGGCATTAATGTTCGGTGCAGCTAATTTAAAGACCTTCAGTAAAGCGGGAACCAGCTGGTAAGTGATGTCTGAGAAAATTGCTAGCTAGCTAGCTGATTAGCATAGCTAGCTAGCTACCTGGCAGGACAGCTGCTTATATTTTGATGACATTACAACGTTCATCGGCTACCTAGCTATCAGATGTTGACATTTTGACAGCAAAATGGGCCACTAACGATAAGTAACAAATTGCGAGTCTGTGGCTCTAGATTTAGCTAACTAGCTTGCTTGTCTTTTGTGGTTTAGCCAACTATGCTAGCTTTTAAATGTGGGTCAGATCTCCATGGATTGGATTAACACATTGGCTGTTCCTGGGCCGTCTAACCCAAACTCTGCATGCAAGTTCATCCAACATTTGGCTGCCGTTAATACCTAGCTAGCATTAAGATGGTATGTGCACTGGAACACCTTTCATTACAGATAATAATACTAATAGATATATGCCAGGTTATACTCATGCCATGGGACAGTTTTCCACACTGACATGTTAATATAGGATAGTAGTGTACACAAACACACACACGATTTGGGCTATACACACACAAATATATATATTCTTCACCGTTTGTACCACACGCTAACACCTCCTTTCTCTCCTTCCCGGGACACTTTAGCCGGACGATGGACGAGCTGGTCCATGACCTGGTGTCGGCGCTGGAGGAGAGCTCGGAGCAGGCGGCGCGGGGGGGCTTCGGGGATGGGGGGGACCACGCGCTGGCCGTGGGCTGCCTGCTGAAGAGACAGGCCCGGAAACGCCGAGGGAGGAAGAGACGCTCTGACAATCCCCACCCGCCCTGGGAGACTGGCCACCTCAGTGAGGGCTCCGAGTCCAGCCTGGACGAACACAAGGTTTGGAGGGGGTCTCGGGCGGTCCAGGTCCTCAATAAACCTCACTTATCTTATTGTAATTGTAAAGGAACAGTACCTTGGTAACTGTACAGTAAGCATATTCCTTATGAAAACAGATACTGTCTAACTGGCATGTGTCTTTCCTCTTTCTATACTTCTCTTCCCTCGCTCACTTCCTGTCAGGACTACCGCGCCACCACAGGCAGCGTTGCCAGCAGTAACAGCCATGCCCGTGACAACAGCGACTCTGACGAGCAGCTGGGGCCCAAGCGCCGTACCCCCCTGAACCCTGACACAGGACGTGGCAAGCGCCCCCTCTGGCAGGATGACCTAGGAGGAGTGGGGAGCACAGAGGGGTCCCGCAGTTTGAGACGACGGCGCAAGGTCAAACGCATGGCCGTCGATCCCCCTCTGGAGCCAGTGACTTCCAATAGCACCACCACCATGCTAGGTCCCCCGCCTGTCCCCAAGCCCCACGCAGGGTGCAGGATCCCTGGGGTGAGCGCGGCTGAGGGCAGGGCAGGGATGGAGCTCACTGGTGGTGGAGTTGGAGGAGGGAAGAGCAGGGTGAAGAAGAGGAAACTGGCAGCCCACAGGCTCGGGCTGGAGGTGACTGATGTGGTGGAAAGTGGGGATGCCATTATGCGGCAGGCGGGGCCCAAGGACAAGATGGAGTTTGAGGAGCAGAAGGGCTCAGATGAGGACATGAGTGACAGGTGGTTAGTGTTTCTCTTGTCTGTTTTGTTTCCCTGCTCCTTTGTGTAGGCCTATACGTTCACAGGTACACTCACCTGGTTGAAAAGCAGTGTTTGGGAGGCTTGTTTAAGGTTATTCTCCCCACAGCAAGTTTCCTTCTACCTCAGAGGTTTCGCTGTATGATGGACAATGAAAATTGACTTCAGACTTTTCTTGTTTACCCATCATCTCTCCTTCTCACACTCCCATCTTTTCTCCTTCATCTCTCTCTTTCTCTGTCTCTCTCTTTGTTAGTGAGACCAGCAGTGTGAGCAACAGTAGTGATGGTGGACTGTACACCAATGACGAGGGGAGGCAAGGTAATCAATCTATTTTACTGGCCACCAAATCTTGCCATTTACAGGGATGGCGGAAGAAGGGGTGCGGCAGCACCCCCTGGTCTACCGCACCTTTGAACTTGAGATTCATCAGTAACTGAAATCTGGACACTGACTGTAGGCCTATAACCTCTCACATGTAGCCTAAAATAAAATTAACTTGTGCAGAATTAAGTATTTATTGCAGTGCAGTGACACACCTAATGTTAATTTTGTCTCTGGAACAGAAATGTAGAAATATGTCTTTCAGCATCTCTTGAGCGATTGCAAGTGGGCAGATACGAATAGGGGCCGTGTGTAAATGTGCAATATTATGCAATTGACACTTTCATAAAAGCAGACTGTATTAAAATCACAAGACTCCAAAAGACAAGATGGCGTATTGAATACACAGCGGTGCGAATCACCTCAAGATAAAAACATAATATTCAATATCAGTAAGTTAGACTATATACAGTGAGGGGGAAAAAGTATTTTGATCCCCTGCTGATTTTGTACGTTTGCCCACTGACAAAGACATGATCAGTCTATAATTTTAATGGTAGGTTTATTTGAACAGTGAGAGACAGAATAACGCATTTGTCAAAATTTTTATTAATTTATTTGCATTTTAATGAGGGAAATAAGTATTTGACCCCTCTGCAAAACATGACTTAGTACTTGGTGGCAAAACCCTTGTTGGCAATCACAGAGGTCAGCCGTTTCTTGTAGTTGGCCACCAGGTTTGCACACGTCTCAGGAGGGATTTTGTTCCACTCCTCTTTGCAGATCTTCTCCAAGTCATTAAGGTTTCGAGGCTGACGTTTGGCAACTCGACCCTTCTGCTCCCTCCACAGATTTTCTATGGGATTAAGGTCTGGAGACTGGCTAGGCCACTCCAGGACCTTAATGTGCTTCTTCTTCAGCCACTCCTTTGTTGCCTTGGTCGTATGTTTTGGGTCATTGTCATGCTGGAATACCCATCCACGACCCATTTTCAATGCCCTGGCAGAGGGAAGGAGGTTCTTACCCAAGATGTGACGGTACATGGCCCTGTCTATCGTCCCTTTGATGCGGTGAAGTTGTCCTGTCCCCTTAGCAGAAAAACACCCCCAAAGCATAATGTTTCCACCTCCCATGTTTGACGGTGGGGATGGAGTTCTTGGGGTCATAGGCAGCATACCTCCTCCTCCAAACACGACGAGTTGAGTTGATGCCAAAGAGCTCGATTTTGGTCTCATCTGACCACAACACTTTCACCCAGTTCTCCTCTGAATCATTCAGATGTTCATTGGCAAACTTCAGACGGGCCTGTATATGTGCTTTCTTGAGCAGGGGGACCTTGCGGGCGCTACAGGATTTCAGTCCTTCACGGCGTAGTGTGTTACCAATTGTTTTCTTGGTGACTATGGTCCCAGCTGCCTTGAGATCATTGACAAGATCCTCCCGTGTAGTTCTGGGCTGATTCCTCACCGTTCTCATGATCATTGCAACTCCACAAGGTGAGATCTTGCATGGAGCCCTAGGCCGAGGGAGATTGACAGTTATTTTGTGTTTCTTCCATTTGTGAATAATCGCACCAACTGTTGTCACCTTCTCACCAAGCTGCTTGGCGATGGTCTTGTAGCCCATTCCAGCCTTGTGTAGGTCTACAATCTTATCCCTGACATCCTTGGAGAGCTCTTTGGTATTGGCCATGGTGAAGAGTTTGGAATCTGATTGATTGATTGCTTCTGTGGACAGGTGTCTTTTATACAGGTAACAAGATGAGATTAGGAGCACTCCCTTTAAGAGTGTGCTCCTAATCTCAGCTTGTTACCTGTATAAGACACATGGGAGCCAGAAATCTTTCTGATTGAGAGGGGGTTCAAATACTTATTTCCCTCATTAAAATGCAAATCAATTTAGAACATTTTTGGCATGCGTTTTTCTGGATTTTTTTGTTATTCTGTCTCTCACTGTTCAAATAAACCTACCATTAAAATTATAGACTGATCATTTCTTTGTCAGTGGGCAAACGTACAAAATCAGCAGGGGATCAAATACTTTTTTCCCTCACTGTAGATGAATCAAATCTCACATTGTTGTCAATTTTTGCTAAATCTTGCATGCTTTTTTTATACAGCTGTAACTGTATATGCATTCGTAAATCAGGTCCTTTCTTGAGTTGGGCTCTGGGATGTAAGAACCGTTGAGCATCTGATCTTATGGTTGAGTGTGTTAGAGTGTGTGTGTGTGTTTATCCCACGTCTGTTGCAAGGGGGTAAGGATGTTAGGGAGAATATAGGATGAAGCACAATAATTGTTTGCTAAAATGTAATGGAATACAATGGCAATCCAGGTTATAGGTAACAATCCTACGCATGAACTACCAACATTATTACGAATATTAATTGGTAATGATGGAAATTAAGATATACAAGATATTTGAATAGATATATATATATATATATATATATATATATTTTGAGGTGAGAGCGTTGGAAATGCTTTTGGCGGTTGACCTGCTTCTGTTTTGTGGGTGGCTCTGTGTGCTGTTTTCGATGGATGGTTCCTGTCCTCTCGGGGGCCTAGGGATCCGGGGGGACGGGGGTGGTATGCCGATCACTGGGATGACGGCCCAACTTGGGATGGGGAGGGGCTTTAGCGGGGGGAATATTGGAGAACAATTGGAGGGTTACTTAGTAGCAATGCAAATATCATGGTACAGCTACAGTGGGGGAAAAAATATTTAGTCAGCCACCAATTGTGCAAGTTCTCCCACTTAAAAAGATGAGCGAGGCCTGTAATTTTCATCATAGGTACACGTCAACTATGACAGACAAAATGAGGGAAAAAAATCCAGAAAATCACATAGTAGGATTTTTAATGAATTTATTTGCGAATTATGGTGGAAAATAAGTATTTGGTCAATAACAGAAATTTCTCAATACTTTGTTATATACCCTTTGTTGGCAAGGACACAGGTCAAACGTTTTCTGTAAGTCTTCACAAGGTTTTCACACACTGTTGCTGGTATTTTGGCCCATTCCTCCATGCAGATCTCCTCTAGAGCAGTGATGTTTTGGGGCTGTCGCTGGGCAAAACAGACTTTCAACTACCTCCAAAGATTTTCTATGGGGTTGAGATCTGGAGACTGGCTAGGCCACTCCAGGACCTTGAAATGCTTCTTACGAAGCCACTCCTTCGTTGCCCGGGCGGAGTGTTTGGGATCATTGTCATGCTGAAAGACCCAGCCACGTTTAATCTTCAATGCCCTTGCTGATGGAAGGAGGTTTTCACTCAAAATCTCATGATACATGGCCCCATTCATTCTTTCCTGTACTGGCTTAAGCAGGGGGACACGTCTGGCACTGCAGGATTTGAGTCCCTGGCGGCGTAGTGTGTTACTGATGGTAGGCTTTGTTACTTTGGTCCCAGCTCTCTGCAGGTCATTCACTAGGTCACCCCTTGTGGTTCTGGGATTTTTGCTCACCGTTCTTGTGATCATTTTGACCCAACGGAGTGAGATCTTGCGTGGAGCCCAGATCGAGGGAGATTATCAGTGGTCTTGTATGTCTTCCATTTCCTAATAATTGCTCCCACAGTTGATTTCTTCAAACCAAGCTGCTTACCTATTGCAGATTCAGTCTTCCCAGCCTGGTGCAGGTCTACAATTTTGTTTCTGGTGTCCTTTGACAGCTTTTTGGTCTTGGCCGTAGTGGAGTTTGGAGTGTGACTGTTTGAGGTTGTGGACAGGTGTCTTTTATACTGATAACAAGTTCAAACAGGTGCCATTAATACAGGTAACGAGTGGAGGACAGAGGAGCCTCTTAAAGAAGAAGTTACAGGTCTGTGAGAGCCAGAAATCCTGCTTGTTTGTTGGTGACCAAATACTTTTTCCACCATAATTTGCAAATAAATTCATTAAAAATCCTACAATGTGATTTTCTGGATTTTTTCTTTTCTCAATTTGTCTGTCATAGTTGACGTGTACCTATGATGAAAATTACAGGCCTCTCATCTTTTTAAGTGGGAGAACTTGCACAATTGGTGGCTGACTAAATACTAGGTTGAGAGCTTTTGTGAAAGTGCACAGTTAGAAAGATATGACCCCCCCCTCCCCCCAAAAAAATTAAATAAATAAATACATATTGTAAAGTGGTTATCCCACTGGCTATAAGGTGAATGCACCAATTTGTAAGTCGCTCTGGATAAGAGCGTCTGCTAAATGACGTAAATGTAAATATAGAAGCAAACCGGATGGACATCATGAAAATGATCGTAGAGGTTGAGGGTAGAGGAAGTTCAGGAGTAAAAACAAACTAAATAGAATTATTGTAAAATTGACTGTGTCCATAAAATGTATATAGTATGTATAAGCTGGAGGTAGAGGCCTAAGCATTGTTGTTCACTAGTTTACTCCAATTAGGGAAGGGGTGGTGGGGTTGGAAAGTAATAAAGGGAAATAGATTTTTAAAAAGGATGTGTATGTGTGTGTATACAGTGGGGGAAAAAAGTATTTAGTCAGCCACCAATTGTGCAAGTTGTCCCACTTAAAAAGATGAGAGAGGTCTGTAATTTTCATCATTTTTAATGAATTTATTTGCAAATTATGGTGGAAAATAAGTATTTGGTCACCTACAAACAAGCAAGATTTCTGGCTCTCACAGACCTGTAACTTCTTCTTTAAGAGGCTCCTCTGTCCTCCACTCGTTACCTGTATTAATGGCACCTGTTTGAACTTGTTATCAGTATAAAAGACACCTGTCCACAACCTCAAACAGTCACACTCCAAACTCCACTATGGCCAAGACCAAAAAGCTGTCAAAGGACACCAGAAACAAAATTGTAGACCTGCACCAGGCTGGGAAGACTGAATCTGCAATAGGTAAGCAGCTTGGTTTGAAGAAATCAACTGTGGGAGCAATTATTAGGAAATGGAAGACATACAAGACCACTGATAATCTCCCTCGATCTGGGCTCCACGCAAGATCTCACTCCGTTGGGTCAAAATGATCACAAGAACGGTGAGCAAAAATCCCAGAACCACAAGGGGTGACCTAGTGAATAACCTGCAGAGAACTGGGACCAAAGTAACAAAGCCTACCATCAGTAACACACTACGCCGCCAGGGACTCAAATCCTGCAGTGCCAGACGTGTCCCCCTGCTTAAGCCAGTACAGGAAAGAATGAATGGGGCCATGTATCATGAGATTTTGAGTGAAAACCTCCTTCCATCAGCAAGGGCATTGAAGATTAAACGTGGCTGGGTCTTTCAGCATGACAATGATCCCAAACACTCCGCCCGGGCAACGAAGGAGTGGCTTCGTAAGAAGCATTTCAAGGTCCTGGAGTGGCCTAGCCAGTCTCCAGATCTCAACCCCATAGAAAACCTTTGGAGGTAGTTGAAAGTCTGTTTTGCCCAGCGACAGCCCCAAAACATCACTGCTCTAGAGGAGATCTGCATGGAGGAATGGGCCAAAATACCAGCAACAGTGTGTGAAAACCTTGTGAAGACTTAGAGAAAACGTTTTGACCTGTGTCATTGCCAACAAAGGTTATATAACAAAGTATTGAGAAACTTTTGTTATTGACCAAATACTTATTTTCCACCATAATTTGCAAATAAATTCATTAAAAATCCTATAATGTGATTTTCTGGATTTTTTTGTCTCATTTTGTCTGTCATAGTTGACGTGTACCTATGATGAAAATTACAGGCCTCTCTCATCTTTTTAAGTGGGAGAACTTGCACAATTGGTGGCTGGCTAAATACTTTTTTCCCCCACTGTGTATGTATGTATGTATGTGTGTGTATATATATATATATATATGTGTGTGTGTGTATATGTATGTATGTATGTATGTATGTATATATGTGCGGGGGGGGAAAAACATGGGGGATTGGAAGTGATGCAGACAATTACATTGATGGAAGTTACAATCTGTCTGCAATATTAAAGCATATTTTTTTTATTCACATAACATTATGCATCCAAGACGAGCTGAAATCTAATTTGAAACTTGTTGTATCGTTGTACAGCCTTTATTTCAACATGTCCTTTGAAAATCTTGCAAGAGAAGAATCATTACCTTGTGTTAGAGCTTTTCTCCCAGAACCCTAGATGTCTCATGCTGTGAGAGAAGCAGTAATGGATGAGACAACTTTACAGACGTCAACTATATTATTGATGCATTCATTCAATCAATCAATTTATAACATTTTCATTTGTTGTCAGTACTGATTTATAGGTCAGCAAGTTATGACCGAAGACAAGCTGCATGTATCTAATTATAAACAAATAGCCTTCCAAATATCTGAAATTATAGGCAGAAACATATTTAAATGAGGATTATTTAAAAACATTTTCTACACCCACTGCGTATGTCATTTATACAGTGTTATCAACAAGAATAAAACATGTCTTAAAAAAGTTGGTCCAAAATCTAAATAAGTAAATGTTTTGTATGGAACCTATTTTCTCAGCCCTAACCTTTAACCTCTGCCTCCTCCCGTCTCCCAGGTGACGATGAGCAGAGTGACTGGTTCTATGAGGGGGAGCCGGGGGGAGCATGTGGGGTGGCGGGGGTGATTCCCTGGTGGGAGAGAGAGGCAGGGGAGGAACTGGACCTGGCTGACCCTGTCTTCAACAGCATCCTCACCGGATCCTTTCCCATAATGAGCCCCGGGGCACAGAGAGGTAGCTGGACCCAGACCTGTCTTTTTATATGTCTGCCTGTTTGTTTGTATCTCTGGGCCCAGTACCATTTTGATTACTAGTCCCGCTTGTCACTCTTTTTCTTTGCATGATGGTAGAATGAATTTTATACAAAGAAGAGTTGTGATCTGTCATATGGCCAGTAGGGGGCATTTACTGCCCAGGGTTTATCATGTAGCCTCTACAGCTGCCGTAGCGTTTCCCCTATTCCAGTCTATGATGTGTGCACTCTGCTGCCTCTCCTGTGGCAGGGTTCCAGGCCAGGCTGAGCCGGCTTCATGGTGGGCCCCAGGGCCAGGCTTCTCAGCGCAGCTCAGGACAAGCCTTCAACGAGCGGCTGGGACGACACCACCAGGACTCGCATGAGTCAGTCTACTTTACCTCCCTCACAGTCACCTGACTTGTAGAATATCTGTCTACACATTATTTATTTTCTGTATTTTTCTCTATTTGACGTGACTGTGTGCAAATAAACTAAACGAACCTATGTGTCCTCCACAGCCCATGGTTTAGTCCAGGGTCTAGAAGAGAACATGGACAGGTAAGACATGTTTATCACTTAGCTGCACCTTCAGAACAGTACCGGCTGTTATACATTTATGGCTGATAATGCCCAGATAGACGTATTTTACATTTGCTATTGGCTTTTCATTTCTTCTCTCTCTCTAGATGCACTGGGACTCATGGTCAGACAGAGGCCATCGGAGGAGCTGCTCAGTAAAGACGGCCAGCAGGTACAGGAGGAATGATCCAATCAGCGAAGGATCTAACAGACAAATGATACAGCTGTTCCATCCACAACAGCACATTGTTTCTAGGATGTTGCCAACAGATGGATGCTAATGAATGAGGCTTATTTCCTGGTTGTGGTTCTGCAGGCAGACGAGTGGTCACCTGGGGTCTCTGTGTACGGGGGACGTCAAGAGGAGACGCAAAGCAGCACCCCTTGGCTTACCTCCACCCACAGGTAAACTCTTTGACACACACCACTGCACTCACTGACACACTCCCAATCCCCCCCCCACCTCACCATCCCCTGTTAAATCCAGTTTTAGCTCTCAACCCTCCTCCCTAACCTGGATTGGACAGTAGTCAGTTGGCAGGCTCTGCAGTCACAGAGAGATACCAGATTAACCCTAAGCCAATCACGGCTGTGTATCCCAAACCCTCTCCTGCTCCCTTCCCAACCTTCACCTCTACCTCTGTTAGTAGTGTGTTTTAGGTGAGTGGAAAATGTTAATACCAGGAGGGGGAATGAAATTGCTTAATCAATAAGCCTTAAGCCTTCATCAAGATAATTTGCTCTGCTCGTATCTCTTTCAGTCTCTCCTTCCTTCTCTTATGTCTCACTCTCCCCCTCTAACATACTCTCCTCTTATTTCCATCTCTTCTTATGTTGTAACTCTGTGTTCCTGTTCTTTTATCTCTCCTTCTCTAGGGGTGGTAGGTGAGAGTGCGGTGCCCATCCCAGAGACCAACATGGGCAACCGGATGCTGCAGAGTATGGGCTGGAGCCCCGGCATGGGCCTGGGTCCGGAGGGCAGGGGCATCACCGAGCCCGTTCGGGCCACACAGAGACCCAAGGGAGCAGGTCTGGGTTTTAACTGAGCCTCAGGCTTTAGGCCCCAACTGAACAGGCCAGGCCAGTAGGCCTCGATGGACATGGACCCTACTGAGAGCAGGGAGGACTGTGGTCAACACGCTCTGGGAAGGATACTCTGATAGAGCAGCAGAGCTGGAAGGATGCAAGTCAGCAAGAACAGTTTTAGCTAATAGGAAGACAGAAAGGAAAATCTGAGGTGGGAAACCCAACGCTCCATGCACTTCCACTCTAACCAGGGCCGAAACTCCGAGGGAAAGTTTTGGCCCTGGTTAGACTGAAAGTGCATGGAGCGTTGGGTTTCCCACCTCAGATTTGTACTCGGGATGTCCAACGTTTCTACCAGGGAAAAGAGAAGGAATGAATAGAAGACAACCAGGCATTGTAGTTGAGTTTGATTGTATGCTACTAGCCAGGTTGTTGGACTGTGTGTACTGCACAGCACACTAAAAGGCTCAGTTTCACCAGAAAATCATTTCTCTTCAATCAATGGTTATTGTTCTGATAATGCACAGGATGACAAAAAATATATTTTAGGTGAATATCCTTGTACGCATCAAAATCACTATTGTGTGTGCATGTGGTGGAAGTAATATTTGCTTTTAAATATGTTTTGCAACACTACATTACGTTGGCGTTATTCCAGGGTAACTATAATGGAATAACATATGCAGCTAGTTCTTACTGTGGGTTAGTACTAAAAGGTGATGGCTGAGTACTGCATTAGGTAAAGGTAATTACAATTATCCTACCTCTGGTATAGCGCTAATGTAATGTACTGGCAAATGTTTATTTTTTATGTCTTTAAACTATCAAATGGTTCCTTTGGGATATTGGTCAGTTATGTTAGATTGTGTAGATGACGATGATTATTTTATTTTTTAAGACTCATTTTCTCCTCTCCTCTGCTCCTGACTGCATGTGCTCCCATAGAAACAGAATGAATCGAACTGGCGTCCCCATTCAAGTCAATGATTGCATAATGGGTGGACTGGCTGCCATTGCGAGTGTGCCCATAGGAGCAAAGCAGGAAGTAAAAGCAGGAAGTGTACCCATCAATATGTGTTGTGATTTTTTGATTCAACTCAACTGATTACAAAAATATATATTCCATTGCATGAGCCACATCAGTTAACATCAATTGAATGAACGTTCTACAAATTATTCAATACAGTACCAGGCAGCCACTGCGAGTGTACAAGTCAAATTGCCAGGAACATTCTATTCATCCTATTTCTATGTGTTGTGCTGCAGGGATGGGGCATTGTAAACTCGGTCCTGGTGCACATTTTGGTTTTTGCCCTAGCATTACACAGCTGATTCAAATAACCAACTCATCTCAACTCAAGCTTTGATTATTGTTTGCTACAACACCTTGCTTGTTGCACCTTGCTTGTTTTTTCATTAATCACTGTTAATACAGTCCCAAAATGTATTGCATGTCAGCAGTCAAGAGGCAGTGTAACTTTCCACATCATTATGATGCATTTTTCCAAAAATTATATTTATTGAAAACTTGCTGACATGCAAAACATGTTGGGACTGTATCAACAGTGGACTAATGAAAGAAAGAAAAATAGATCGTTTTTTAAAGGATTATTCCTTTGAGTCAATGTTAACGCAGAAACGGACTCAACCGCATGAATGCCCGGCTGTCCCATCTTCATTCAGCTGTTCGTTATTTTATTTTCATGATGGTCTTCATTCATAACCATCGGTTATATACGGTAATTGTGCCAGCACTATAGATGGTATTCCTGAGGGAAGTGTCATGAATGATTCAGGAAATGAAATCATTGTATGTATGTATGGTGTTGAAGTAGAATGTTCAACCCCGAACACTCCAGAATAGTGTTTATTTTATTAAAGGGGCAGTGGAGTCAACTTGATTTCCTTTGTTTGTTTGTTTTTGACATTTCCACACTGAGGTCGAAATAACACTCGGAAATTGAGAGAATGATCATATTGCCCCTTTTGTGTAAGGGCTGTTTGAAAAAAATGCCTGGAATTTCAGCCTGTTCAGGTGGGATGGAGTTTTTGGCCCAGATCATGACATCACAATCTGATCTAATTATTCTGACCAATGACCAGTCATCTTTTATTTGCATATCTATCCTCCTACTTTGAAGGGCTTAGTGGGGTAGGCTATAGTCTAGACCAGGGTTCTTCAATTCCGGTCCTGGAGGGCCGAAACACCTCTGTTTTTCATCCTCTCCTTCTAATCAGGGGCTAATTCAGACCTGGGACACCAGGTGAGTGCAATTAACTACCAGGTAGAAATAAAAAACAGAAGTGTTTCGGCCCTCCAGGACCGGAATTGAAGAACCCTGGTCTAGACGATCCTATCTACCAATCAGGGCTGTATATGTAAATATATTTAAATGTGTATCAACACGTCGCCCACACGATCAGACTGAGCATTTCAATGGCAAGGAGGCTCTGGAAAATAAATTATAAAAAATGTATTTGAAATAAACACAGTGATTTATTAGACATACAGTGATGATTTAAACATGACATAAAACATTCTTCATGGGGGCTTTAAAAAGAAGCCAAACAAAATTCTAACCATGTTTCCCAATCATGCTGTACTTGCTGGGTATGTGTAGCAACCATCACATGGAAATGTCTTTACAATTACAATTCCCAGTGTGTACGGTAGACAGTAACATGTTCTATAAAGTGAAAAAATTATATTGGTTGCACTTTACTTAATAGTCTCTTCTATTTACCTGGTAAATAACAACTGAAATATGATTGTAAAATAAAGTGTTACCATTGTCAATGTAATGTTCATTAAACCTGAAGGCCTGAGTGAAACAATCCCCTGGTATTATGAGCAGATGTGGGTTCAGTGTGTCTTACCATGTCTCTCTTTCTCTCTCTCTGTTTCTCTCAAGCAAAAAGCAACAGAAGAAAACCTCACTCAGAAAACATAAAAATGCTATTTTTTCAAAAACATGCTTCATAAATTGTATGAACTCGACTGATATACACTACATGACCAAAAGTATGTGGATACCTGCTTGTCGAACATCTTATTCCAAAGTCATGGGCATTAGTATGGAGTTGGTCCCCCTTTTGCTGCTATAACAGCCTCCACTCTTCTGGGAAGGCTTTCCACTAGATGTTGGAACATTGCTGCGGGGACTTGCTTCTATTCAGCCACAAGAGCATTAGTGAGGTTGGGCACTGATGTTGGATGATTAGGCCTGGCTCGCAGTCGGCGTTCCAATTCATCCCGAAGGTGTTTGATGGGGTCTGTGCAGGCCAGTCAAGTTTTTCCACACCAATCTCGACAAACCATTTCTGTATGGCTTTGCTTTGTGTACAGGGGCAGTTTCATGCTGAAACAGGAAAGGGCCTTCCTCAAACTGTTGCCACAAAGTTGGAAGCACAGAATCGTCTAGAATGTAATTGTATGCTGTAGCGTTAAGATTTCCCTTTACTGGAACTAAGGGGCCTAGCCCGAACCATGAAAAACTGCCTCAGACCATTATTCCTCCTCCACCAAATGTTACAGTTGGCACTATGCATTCGGGCAGGTAGTGTTCTCTTCGCATCCGCCAAACCCAGATTTGTCCGTCGGACTGCCAGATAGTGAAGCGTAATTCATCACTCCAGAGAACACGTTTCCACTGCTCCAGAGTCCAATGGCGGCGAGCTTTACACCACTCCAGCCGACGCTTGGCATTGCACATGGTGATCTTCGGCTTGTGTGCGGCTGCTCGGCCATGGAAACCCATTTCATGAAGCTCCCGACGAACAGTTCTTGTGCTGACATTGCTTCCAGAGGTAGTTTGGAACTCGGTAGTGAGTGTTGCAGCTGAGGACAGATTATCTTTACACGCTAAAGCAATCGGTGGTCCCATTCTGTGAGCTTGTGTGGCCTACTACTTCGAGGCTGAGCCGTTGTTGCTCCTAGACGTTTCCACTTCACAATAACAGCACTTACAGTTGACCGGGGCAGCTCTAGAAAGGCAGAAATTTGAGGAACTGACTTATTGGAAAGGTGGCATCCTATGACGGTGCCACGTTGAAAGTCACTGAGCTGTTCAGTAAGGCCATTCTACTGCCAATGTTTGTCTATGGAGATTGCATGGCTGTGTGCTCGATTTTATACACCTGTCAGCAACTGTGTGGCTGTAATAGCCGAATCCACTGATTTGAAGGGGTGTTCACATACTTTTGTATATGTAGTGTACTTGCATCAAACTCACATGCTGACAGAGAACCTCACTAAAACGTGATGCCATCTCTTTCCCTTCCTCTCCCCCCCTCTGCAAGGCTGCTACAGCGATCCCTGTATCTATGGCAATGCAGAAGAGCTGTGTCCTCTACTTCCTCTCTATCCTCTTCCCCTATCACACACACACTCAGGACTGAGTGGGGTAAGTGAACTCAGCGCTGGTCCAGAGGAGAGGAGAGAAAGGTCTGTGTTGCTGCATCGCTGATCCACAGAGAGGAGAGGAAGGAAGAGAGCTGGGTAGAGCTGAAGGCATTTGTCCTTGAGACTGACTGACTGCAGCTGGCTGCAGGGCTCTGGAGGAAACAGTGAGAGTGAGTACTGAGCCGGACAGGGCAGGGGCTGGATGGGGTGTTAAGAGATGTTGTTGTTGGATATTTAGACTGGGGACATTTAGAGGGTATTTGAAAGTGTGTATCTTGAGTGGGGTATTTTGACCAGGGCAGTTGGCTAGAGGGCATTTGGGCTGGGATAGAAATGTGTGTGTGTGTGTGTGTTTCCTTTGTCCAGGTGGTAGAGGTCTGTCCTGTACTCAGGTATACCCACCTCACTTAGGTTTCTATCGGCTTTCTGCTCTCCCAAAACAGTGTGTGCCATTACCCACAATTAGTTTTGAGAATAGCTATCTTATTACATTCCTCAATCTTCCGCCTGCATTTTAAGGTCAAGTTGGTCAGTACTGAGTTGTTCTCTGTCATTTTTCCAATACATATTCATCCTTCTTTCCATCTCGCAGCGGTTAAGTAAACATTTATTTACAGAGCTTTACTCTCTCCCTCCCTCAATCCCTCTCTACTGCCTCCCTCTCTCTAGTGTTGACAGATCGATAGTTATACATCTATAATTGGAAGACATCAATTATGGCGGTCCTCCTAGGACCGTCATTATCATGTGTAATCTTGCAGAAAATTACATTTGGAGTGGTGTTCCTGGCGTAGCTGAGACCCACTGGTCTGTGTTAGCCTGGTTAACTGGCTGCTGCTCAACCTATCCACCT